GTTAAAATAGTCCAAGTGACTACAGGGGCTCAATCTTAAGTTTATCAAACGACGAGAACACTTTTGTGCGCAAAAAAACAACAAAAATAACGACTTTATTTCAACTATTCACTTCCTTCTCCATGAGCCTGTAAGTCAGTTAACGTAGTGTGATTGCGTAGAGCTACGTCACACGTAGGCTCACTATTGGCCGACGCTGGTCATGTGTGTGTGATGCGTGTGACGTACAATAACAGAAGCTTACGCTATTAAACTAGTAACCTGACTCACGCAGAGGGAGAAATAAACGAATAGTTGAAATAAAGTCGTTATTTTTGTTGTTTTTTTGCGCACAAAAGTGTTCTCGTCGTTTGATAAACTTAAGATTGAGCCCCTGTAGTCACTTGGACTATTTTAACGATGTCTTTAATGACTTTTCGAGGACAGCAAGAGCCAGTCCCTCAAGAAGCCTATGGACTGTATGCAGGAGCGATCTTAATATCTTAAATATCTTAATTTGTGTTCCGAAGATGAAAGAAGGTCTTACGGGGTTGGAACAACATGAGGGTGAGTAAATACTGACAGAATTTTCATTTTTGGGTGAACTAACCCTTTAAATTGTCATCAACACAGTTGCTCTGCAAGGGTAGAAACAACATGGAATTGTTTAGCTAAGTTTAGCTGATTTTAAAAGTGTTTTAAACTGTAAAACAACTGCTGGTGTTGTCATTTACAACTGTAAAGACTATTTTGTTCCTATAAGAAAGTATGTGAAAGATGAAATGGTTGTCAAATAGGTAACATAGTGAAACTTTTTAATAATAATCCCTTACTGTAGAAGCTGTTTTCCTAACATGTATTATCATGTATTATCATAAAACCAATGTTAAGTTTATGCAGCATTGAACATTTTTACAATAAAAATATTTTTGAGCAAACAATTTAAGTTGATTATGAGTTTTCAATAATGTAACCTAGTAAGTTGTCTTAACTTGGAGAATCAAGTTGAAACAACAGTTGACAAAGTTGTTTAAACTCAGAGAGTCAAGTTGAAACAACGAATGTTCAGTAGCTAGATAACTTGTAAAACACAACATTGTAAGTTGAAACAAAGAATATATCTAAGTTGAGTTAACTCGTGTTTATAAGGCAGCAGGTGAACTTTCGTTTCTAAGTTTAACAGACTTGAAATGTTTTACAGTGCAGGCGGTCCACCCTCAGTTTCCATGTAGTTTTGAGTCACATTCTCAGTCTGGGTAATTTCTCATCATCCACTGATTTCTTAACCTGGGGATCCCTGTCTGACTCACCAAAAGAACCTGATCTCAGAGACGTGGGTCTCAGACCCAAAACACAGCTCAGAGACCGAGGACGAGGGGGATGGGGCTTACCTGGGGATTCCTTGGAGGAAGAGGGCCAACTCATCCTCACACACACACCACAACAGAGAATTATTACATGCAGTAAGACAACAGCCCACCTCAGAGAGCTCAGTTTAGAGAGTGATCAGTAAAAACAGACTTTCAGTCACTGCAGTGATAACAGCGTTATGGGATTCTCTTCATTCAAACAGCATTCATCTGAAGCTCAGAGGGAGGGATCAGTTACAGATCACAACCTGATGTAAGTATACTTCTGCTTTCTTGGTGATGGTTTAATACCTTCATGTTGAGACTTTACTGGGGTCTCATCCTGAATGTGCTTAAATAATAGTCACTTTTTCCCCTTAAAGTTATTAAATTTAATGTTCTTCTCATCTAATCAAAGTTATCAGATATTATCAAAGCTGTAGAGCCTATACAGCATATCAAAGTGAATTTGTTTTCAGAAATGTTATAAGTTGCTTTTTATGGGGTGATTTAGTAAATTTATTAGTAACTAATAGTTTCTGAATGCCAGCTGCACTTGATACACATGTCCTCCATTATTACTCTGAACACTTGTAAAGTCACGGGTTTCTATAGGCTACATATTTGTGTGATTTTATTTTACTTATAGCACAGGTTGATAAAATAAAACAAGCTGTTTTAGCATATACTTTCATAAAATACATATAAATACAATTTATGAAAGTAAGATATATATATATATAGTAATATAATATTACTGATGAAATGAATGCAATGAAATCTCAAATACAGTTAATTAATCTATACACATTCGCAATTGCATTGATGGCAGGATTTTTCAATGTTCATTATTATGTTGTTTCTCTAAACTTTCATAAAGTGACAAATTGACTGGCTACATTTTGTTGTGTGATTGTATTTTACTAGTATAGCACAGGCTAGTAGCACAAGTTTTTAAACACGGATACACAGATCTGTTCTGTTTTAGCGTATATGGTATATATATATACAGTATGTGTGTGTGTGTACATACAATTTTAAACTTTTTGTTTGAAATATCTTTTAATCATTGAAACAGTGTTTTATTGTCTGTTATTTGTTTTATTGTGTTTATGTCTATGCAGCACATTGGTAAACAGTTTTAAATAGTGCTTTATAAATAAAGTGACATTGACATACTCTGTTAAAATAATATATCATACAATTTATAAATGTATTATATTTATAGAGGCCTAATATTACAATTGAAATGAATGCAATGCAATTGCAAGTGATGGAATTGTATTTTAGATGTTAATGAATCTAGTATTGTGTTCAGATATAACATTTTTAAATTATTAAGTATTCACTGTTGTCGTTGATGGTTAAGAATGTGAAATATGTATGTAATTCATAAATATCATTTAAATGCTGTCATTTTCAACCCTTCAAATGAATTGGTCTTCTGTCCCTTTTAATTTCATTTCATCATCAAGATGAATGCACATGGTAATTAAAAATGGTAGATTGTGCACACAGTGTAACATAAATACCTACAATGGGTAATTGGGTAATTTTTCAAAAGACTTTAAATACAAATGGTTTTATTTCATGTTCATGTGTGCAGATGCTCATCGTTGAAGACAAAGATCACAACAAAAGTTATCCAGACGCAAAAAAGGATAAGAACTTCAGTTATTTTTTCTCAACATTATAAGTTTAAGTAAAGTTACCCCTTGAGTGTGAAGTATTTTATTCATTTTCTCATTGATATTAAATGAATTTTTACACCTTATACCTGATATTTTCTGCGAGTAATGTGATTTTCTTCTTTTTGATGTATAAACCAAATGTAGTTTTGTGCACTTTTCTGTATTGAAAGAGATTGGTATATGCAATATAATATATTCTGTTTAAACTTTTTTAACGGTTTAACATGTTTTTTCTACAATTCTTCAAATAAAGAAAAATGTTTCCCTTCCCCACAACAAGAAAAATTATGTTTTTCTACTGTTCCACTCATCTAAATTATTGAAAGCCTGACTAAATGAATAAACTAATGATAAAACATTGGTTTTACAGTTCAGAAACTGTGCTCAACAGTGTAATGGAGGTCTTTTGTTAAAGTCTGTGACGCTCTCCATGCGGCAACGTCTGTGGTCTCTGTGGTGGTTTTGTTTTAGAGTAGCGCTGAGGAGCTCAAAGCTGAACGAGCGATGCGACAGAGATAATGTTCTGTCTTTTTGCACAGGAAGGGGTTTGTTCATTTGCCTCAAAGTATCAGGAAAAACAGCTGCATTTTCAAATTGAATGACAGCACAGCTTCTCTCATACCCACTTTTTGTTTATTTGACACAGACCTTTTATTTATTTTTTGATTACAAGTAGTTTTTCCATTAAATGGTCCTTTTGATTTGAAATGTTATTTGTCCAAATTTGTTTTGTGTTTTAGGTGTTGTTGGTCATTTACCAGCTTTTTACTGGTGTTTTTGTGAGTTTTAGTGGATGAGTAATGTGAGTCCTCAAATTCACACAGGTGTCCTATTATACAGTAGAGTAACCACAGGTGTAGCGTAGCTCATCACATTAACTATCAACATGTGCATTTAGTCTTAGGTAGTCTAGATGTTACATAAAACATATTTCAAGCTAATCCTCGCTGTGATCAGACACAATATCATTCGGTATAGTTTCATAAAGGGAGCACACACCCTCAGAGGGAAACTTGATAACACCCAAACACATAAACCAACACACCCTCAGATATGTAAGACAGGGGGACACCATACAAACAAGTGTCATCACAGACAAAGAACTCACAGAAACACTTAATAATACACTCATTTGAAAGAAAACATGAGTTTAATTAAACAATGATTAATACAACTAATGAGCATAACATTTAAATCATGAAGAAATCAGAAAACTGTACATTCATACGCAAATTAAACATGCTGTGTTGTCAAAAACAAAACTCAAAGCTTGATAAAAACGTGGGTTTAGTCCGGGTCTAGGGTGAGTTCAGTTTTTATTGTAATCCTGATGGTACGTTCAGCTCTGGTTTAATTCAGTCAAGCCAGACAATGAATCTAATTCATTAAGTGAACTGTTGGTTAAAGAATGTCCAATGAGACATTGAACTGTGAGTACATTTAAAGGGATAGTTCACCCAAAAAAATGAAAATTCTGTCATCATTTACTCACCCTTAAGTTGTTCCAAACTTGTATAAATGTGTTTCTTCTGCTGAACACAAATGAATATATTTTGAAGAATGTTTGATGGACCCTATTCCATAGTATTTTTTCCATTTGGAACAACTTGAGGATGATGATGACAGAATTTAGATTTCTAAACTATCACACACTCTTTTGTAGACAGGTTACTTTACAATAAGGTCTTATTAGTTAACATTAGTTAAAGCAATAACTATTATGGACTAACAATAAGCATCATATTTTGTTACAGTATTTATTAATATTTGTTAACACTAGTAGTTCACATGGTAGTTCATGTTAGCTCAGGTCAATTAAAACAGAAAACTTTAGATTTTTCATAATGTATTAGTGAGATTGATAAATGCTTTAGAATTGTTTTTACAGTATTTGTTAGGTAATATTAACTAATGAAACCTTATTATAAAGTGTAGGTATGTAATGTGTTTTATCAAACTGTAGATACTTTTTGTTTGGAGATGACGAGTCTGTTCTCCACCTCATCGCAACGGATTTGTCCTATGGAGAAAAGAGCATAATAAACGTTCTTTTAAAAAAGCTTTAAAAGCTCATGATATTGGCAGATATAGTTAAAAAAATGTATTTAAATGTTCATCAAAATTTCAATGAGCCTAATAAGGCTGTCAAGACACAGGCAATGCAAACACACATGTAAGGACTTTGATGCGAGGCGCGAGTATCGCAAATCAACATCGACCCACAACTATAACATTCCTGTTTAGTTGCTTATTTTCACGCTTGAAAGACGAAAAGATAATTGAAGGTATGTTTTAATCCTAGAAATAACATTCATTAAATAGATGCTTTGATTAAAAAAAAAAAAAAACAATGAAATATCTCCTCAACTTACTTGGTGAATCGATGTCTGCATTTCTTAGGTAGACCTGTTGTCTCAATGTAAAAAAAAGAGACATTCATACAAATGTTATATAAAATCCAAATCTGAATTAAATTAACAACACATTTTTAAACAATAAGTGTATAAACTGTTACTGGGCTATAAGCACTGTGAAGTACTGTACTTTAATCTACGCATATGGAAACAGTAATGGAAAAAGTTGTGAAGCTCTTTCTTTGACCACTGTGACGTACCAGTCTTTTACAAAGACATATCTGAGTTCTATGTGTGTGTGTGTGTGTGTGTGTGTGTGTGTGTGTACTCACGACTGAAGTAGTAAAGTATGCCTGCAAGTGTAATGGCCAAAAGCAAAAGAGCACCAATTCCCGGCCAAAGCACCACATGTTCACAGCCTGCAACACAATACAAAGAAACCAATAAAACTAAACAGTATAAAATAGCAAGAAATCAGCAGTACAACAGCACGCCTTTGTCCGCACCTTTAGGTGAGTACTGAGATGGTTTGCAGGGTTTGGGATTTACGGGTTTCCGGTCCATCTTGGCGGTTGGTGGTTGAACTGTTGGAGGATTCACTGGAGAACAAAGACGAAATAACATCAAGAATCCATTGTGGACACTGATTCAAATGAAAAATTCTGACCAAATGAAATGGGTGAGAGTTATAATTCTGAATATGAAGTCAACATGTCAGGTCACGAACTTTCCAGACGATCCCAGACAAGTCAAGACTGCTTGAACGGAACTCTGGGATTCTCAGGCCAAATATCTCGCTGTTTGAATCTCTCCTACCACGTCCCACATTAGTCACATCAGTCATTTATTTTAAGTTAGATGATCTTTTGATGTTCTTAGAGCACCATGAAAGAGGATAAAGACTGAAGATTTGGAAACATCTCCACCTTCATGCTAGGTGAAGATGTCCTTACTTCAGGGATGGAAACCTCAAAGCTGGTGTTATTTTACTAAGATGACTCTTTAAACTAACATTTAGTATCTCATTTTCATTGCTTTCCTCAGCCTAAAATTGTCATTCTGGAACTATCGACAACACCATTAAAGAGGGAAACTCAAGTTTTGACAATAAAAAAACAGGGTTGGGGTCAAAACAAGGGGAGCAATGCCCATACCTCCAGGCATAATGTAATATCCAGCAGGAACTACATTCTTAGTTTTAAACATGCAGGAATAGAAGCCGACGTCATCTTTTTTTAGCTCCATGATGCGCAGGGTGAAGACCGCCTTCTGAGTAGTGGACACAGTACCCTTGAACTTAGAGATTTCGATGTTCTCTCCATGTTGCTCTCTGCCGGCGCTGTTGACATACATCAGAAACTGAAGAGAGTTCTTACTCTCAAGGTACCGGTACCAAAACACCTCCTGGCAGGTATGGTCCGGACAATTACAGTTCAGACTTTGCGTCTCATTGATTTTGGGGTAGAAAACATTCGAAGTAGCTTGGAAGGAGGGCAGAACGACCACTTAGGAGAAACAAAGGAGAAATCATGAGTACCGCTTTGTCAGTTATGCACATTTTGAATTTAAGGTTTAACTTTGTCATTTAGCCACATTCAGTTTTAATTGTATTCAAAGAACATTACAAAAAATTCAAATACAGTATTCAAAAAATAAATTATATAACGGCAGTTATCAATGTTCCTCGACTTCTGCAGACTTCCTTATATGCTAAGCTCATATTAATGTAGCTTTTGAGTGCTAGTTTGTTCGTTACGCACATTTTGATTTTTGAGTTTAGCTTCATGAAATGTACCCATTCAAAGGACAATGACAGTGTAAAGTCAGGTGTCGAAAGTATTACAGTAAAAGAACACAAACATATAGAATTAGAAACTGAAAAAGAAAATAAAAGGCTGAAAAGACATTTGTACGAAAGACTATAGTCAATTTTCACATCAGTCAATTTCCTTGTTATGTAAGAATGGAAACCTGAACAGACAGAACTCTATATAGGCGATATATGTTGTCTATATTCTCTTGCAAAACAGTTTTCCTCTCTTATCAGTGTCTGAGGGTGTCTGGCACATATGTGGATATAGATTCATACAGCATTTGAGCCGAAAAAAAAAAAACCCATCATCATTTATGTCAGAGAATGGAACAAAAATTCATTCACGCAATATACAATATTCAGTTTAGTACAAAAAGCAAAATGTTGAGAGTGTGAAAGCATGAAATTGAGTTTTTAGTGAATCGGATTTCCATTTATTGGTGAACACTGACATTTTTTCTTTTTTTTTTCTTTTAAATTTAAACATACTAGATGCAAATGAGCAATCTGTTCTACATAAACCTGAGTGTGTGAGACTCAGTAACAGTGGATTGGCTTGATAACACTTCTTTTGATAGTCCATTTGAGACATACTAACTATAACTAACTTTGCAACTAAGTCACTATAAGTAGATTGTCTACACTTTTGATATTGTGATGCTCCTCAAACAGACATTTTACTAACTATAAGTAACATTGCAACTACATGTCAACTTATTCTACTAACCCTAACCTAACAATATACTTATACTCTACCGAGAGTTGGTTGACAAGTAGCAAAGTCACTTATATTTAGTAGAATGAATGTCTAAAGTAAAGAGTTAAACGCAAACATTTGTATCAAACGCAAGAAATTTGTAAATTGCCTTAGGATGCAAAACACCTTTCGGCCTAAAGCGAACCACTGAGATCATCATCATAAAATATCTTCGACTTGTGCATACTTCTTTACGCTAAGCTCATATTACTGAAGCACGTACGTTTTAGGTCTGGTCCCACTATGGAATTTGACGGCTCTTAAATATAATGCGAAGAAAAGTTCTTACCTGCCATCCACACGAACACATAACAGCTCATGCAAGAGAGGGTCATCCTTGGGCGTTTGTGTGTGAGCTGTCAACTGTGTGTCTGTGTTTTCCTTTCTGTTCTTCATGTGTCACACTGAAAGGAGGGCCTGCAGTGTGTGGGGCCAATGAACCAATTACTGAAAGCCTATCAGAGAATGAGTCAGAGGAAACACACATACACATGAAACATCAAGGAAAAATCAGGAGTCTTTTCAGAAAAACACATATTTCAAGTTTCGTTTGCAAGTAAATAACAGCTATTGGCTGTTGAACATGCAAAAGTATTATACATTTTACTGAAAACCTCTTAAGTACACAATTATCTTTCAGCGTGCAATGTGCCAACGCTTAGACTGATTTTGCTATAATGCACTGTTGTGAAAAAACAAATGATGATACAATTATGATATGATTTAGTGAAATTTAATAATGATGTGATAGTATGTAATTTCAACACATTTTGAAGACATAACATCTATTTTGACTGCGTCCTGACAAAAATTCGACGATTTCAGAGGTTCTAGATCGTTCACTCTCGTGCATCAAGTAAGTTTTAACAGACATGTTGTTAGAGAAGTGCGAGGATTTAAACTAACGCAGTTAAAATCTATACAACATGCAATCATGATTGAATTGATCTCTTACTTCTGCAAACTCACATGTTTACAAAAATGTGATGAAACCCACAGGTCATTCTATTTAAGTTCCAATGCATGCTAAAATAATTTGTTATTCTCTTCTTTGAAACAGAACGCACAGGCTTGCTGAATCCTAAATGCCTTCCCTAAAATGATCTTTAACCCAAACGCAGGTGTGTGACCTGAATAACACCTGCATCTGTCCGCAAAGCACCACAGCTGGAACTGCATCAAATCAACACAAACATAATATTAAAAAAAAGGAGGAATATCAGACATGCCTGAAATTATTTACAGATCCAATTCAACGTTCTGCTGATGCTGGATTAATGAACTGAAACTGAAAAAGTACAGATGTAAGCATTTAATATTAAAGCAAGGCAGTTTGACCTCAAAGTGTTGGTAGAGTATAGGCTACATTTCCCATTTCTGACAGTATGGTGATAGATTTTGAGCGTCGTAAGCAGCCTAGTAAAAGTGTGACACTACACTCTAAAAAATGCTGGGTTGTTTTAACCCAACTTTGGGTCAAATATGGACTAACCCAGCCGTTGGGTTAAATTTGTACATTGCATTTTTAACCCAACATTTCGGGTTTGTCCATATTTGACCCAAAATTGGGTTAAAACAACCCAGCATTTTTTAGAGTGTATGATATATCCAGGACTAAGACGGAATAAGGAAACAAACGTGCCCAATATATATATATATATATATATATATATATATTATACATTAATAGTTTAATGTAAACAATATTTGGTAGAGTATAGGCTTATAGAGTATATATAGATATATAGATAGATATATAGATATATAGATATATAGATAGATAGATAGATAGATAGATAGATAGATAGATAGATAGATAGATAGATAGATAGATAGATATAGATATATAATATTCTGAAAATGGATATTTGGATGATATTTAATTGAAATATATATTATAATAATATAATAATAATATAATATATATTAGTATTTTTTATATGATGTACCATTTTTATATGATATATATATATATATATATATATATATAAATTATTTAAAAAAAATCTAAAATATCTCCCCCTCTGGTCACAGCTTGAGTACATATCCATTTTCAGAAAATAATTAAAAGAAAAAATAAATAAGAAAATATTTTCATAGCTTCACACAAACTGTTTATGATAAAATTTTGTAAATCGTGTTATGGCTTGGAGATATCTTCTTATATAACCAAAACTTTTTAATGACTTTTAACAGCGAATTTATTTACTGAAGAAAATCAAGAAAATGCAAGTATTGATGAAATAAATTATGTTAAGTTAAGTCAAACTAACAAAACAAATAAACCCTGATAAACTTGCTCAAAGTAAACATGCATGCTGGAACGCATCTTTTTTCACACAGTGTAAAACCACTTTTACACTGAAATCAATCACATATATAGAAGATCAAAGTTTATTCCAACGCTGTTGGGCATACATATTTAGTTCATAAATAAATCAAAAATTTTTCATCATTCTGCACCATATTTACACTCACTTCAGAAACAGAAAAAAACCTGAAGAACAAAACTGCAGGCCGAGCTCAGTTAAACTTTTGAGCCACAAAGTCAAACCGCTGGTTTTGTTCAGAAGCACAACATTTATCAATTCTTTGAACAAGCCTTAGCCAACATGCTGGTTTTTCACTCCGCATTCTAGATAAACTGCACTAATGAAGTTTTTTTTTGAGTGTATGGGACTCTGGAGCCTGAAGCTTGTGTGGGAGTTTTGTGATCTCGCTCATTTGGCCCTCGTCTCTTGAGAAGGGCTGAAAGGGCTCATGGGCCCGTGGAGGGGTCGTGAAGAGGGAGGATGTGGCACAGGCACATGCTTCGGAGGTCGAAGCTACGGCAAAGACACAGGGAGTCGAACCGCACGATTCTTTGAAAACAGGAGATCTCAGGGGCTCGAGAGAACGCGACTGTCGACGGAGGGCTTTCAAACTCTGTGGTTACAAAGGCTTAGGAAAAAAGTTCAGAAAGTTCTGAAGTACAAAAACTGCGTGAGAAGGAACAGGTGTTAGATCGACAAATAATATGCATTAAAATGGATTTGAAGATCAGAACATGATCATTAGAATTACAAACATTAGATTTCATCTTAGATGCAAATTCAAGTGATAGTTCATACAAAAATGAAAAACTGTCATTTACTCACAATCATGTCGTTCCATGT